TTAGGGATAGGAGGATAGAGCAGATGAATGCATGGCTAAGGAGCTGGAGTAGGAGAGAAGGATTCATATTTTAGGATCATTGGAATCTCTTCTGGGGTAGAAGTGACTTGTATAAGATCATATAGATTGCATCTGAATTGGAAGGGGACTAATATACTGGCGGGAAGATTTGCTAGAGCTGCTCAGGAGGATTTGAACTAGTGGGGGAGGTGGGAAGAACCCAGGAAAATAGTGAGATAAGAGATCAGTCTCAGACTAGTGCACTTGGGAAAAGGAGCAAGTCAAACAGTCAGGGCAGGCAGGAACAGAGCAGAGAACGAGGTAGGACTGATAAGTTAAACTGCATTTACTTCAATCCGACAGGCCTGACAGCCAAGGCAGATGAACTCAGAGCATGGTTGGGAACATGGCACTGGGATATGATAACAATTACAGAAATGTGGCTCCGGGATGAAAAGGCAGGTTAATGTTCCAGGGTATATATGCAATAGGAAAGATAGAAAAAGCGGGTCAAGAGAGGAGGTGGAAGAAGCGGGTCAAGAGAGGAGGTGAAATGGCATTTTTAATTAGGGATAACATTACCGCTGTACTTAGGGAGTGTATTCCTGGCAGTACATCCACAGAAGTTATTTGGGTGGAACTGATAGCCATAGTGGTGGTGCTAAATGTCTTAAAACACAAAGGTAGATAAATCCCTGGGACCGGATCAGGTGAACCCTAGAACTGTGTGGGACATGAAGGAAGTGATTGCTGAAATATTTGCAATAATGATAGCCACAAGTGAGGTGCCAGAAGACAAGAGGTTGGCTAATGCGGTGCCAGTATTTCAGAAAGGTGGTAAGGAAAGGCTAGGGAACTGTCAACCATTGAGCCTGCCATCAGTGGTGGGCAGGTTGTTGGAGGAGATCCTGAGGGGCAGGATTTACATGTATTTGGAAAGGCAAGGACTGATTAGGGATAGTCAACATGGCTTTGTGCATGGGAAATCGTGTCTCACCAAGTTAATTAAGTTTCTTGAAAAAGTATTGAAGATGATTGATAAAGGCAAAGTGGTGGACATGCTTCACAGTTGCTTGAAAATAGACTCGCAGGCAGACAAGGTAGTGAAGAAGGCATTCGTTATGCTTGCCTTTGTCGGTCAGTGTTTTGAGTATAAGAGTTGGGAGGTCATGTTGTGAGTATTCAGGACATGGGTTAGGCCACTTTTGGAATACGGTTTTCAATTCTGGTCTCCCTGCCATCGGAGTGATGTCGTGAAACTTGAAAGGGTTCAGAAAAGATTTACAAAGACGTTACCAGGGTTGGAGAGCTTGAGCTATAGGGAGAAGCTAAATAGGCTGGAGCTATTTTCCCTGGAACGTCGGAAGCTGAGGGGTAAACCTTACAGAAGTTTATAAAATCATGAGGGGCATAGATAGGGCGAATAGCCAAGATGTTTTTCCCAGGTTAGCGGGGTCCAAAACTAGGAGGCATAGGTTTACAGTGTAAGGGGAAAGATTTAAAAGGGACCAAACGGGCAACTTTTTCATGTGCGTGTATGGAATGAGCTGCCAGAGGAAGTGGTGGAAGCAGGTACAATTACAACATTTGAAAGGCATTTGGATGGGTCTATGAATAGGAAAGGTTTAGAAGGAAATGGGCCAAATACTGGCAAATGGAACTACATTAATTTAAGATACCTGGTCAACATGGACAAGTTGAACTGAAGGGTCTGTTTCCATGCTGTACATCTCTAAATCTTTTCTAATTTTTCTCTCTCTCTCTCTCTCTCTCTCTCTCTCTCTCGTGATTGTTTTTATAGTGGTGTTGACTACTAGCTGAGTAATGTGATACATCTGTGTAGTTTTTAATGGTGACTACTGCGTGCAAATTAAAACAAGGGAGACCTATTAACGTGTCATAATAATTGATTGAGTCATCTGATTGATAGTCTGGTGGATTGTTTTGCATTCTCCAGTAATATCTTTATGATGCAGCATATTGTATTTTGTAGCTCATAGTTTGAATATTTTTTTTAAAATAGTAAAGCACAGATAATCTAGTAACCAGCAAAATAAATGACCTTTTCTGGATTTGACTGGCTTTACAAAGTATTGCTGCCATGTGGCTTCTACTTATCCAAGTGTGCTTAGCTTCAGGGTATATTGATCTTTCGTACAGGCATATAAGGGTTATTTGCCAATGCTATCTTATGTGAACAAAATGGGAAATGAGCTGGCTCTAAAAAGATGATTTAAATTTCCAAAGATTTGCACAGGCATTCATTCTGTGATGTTTCACTTGACATATTATTTCAACATGCTTGTGAATATAACTAGGCTTTATGTTTGTTTTCCTGTAGTATGGCCAGAATGCGTTGGTACTTTAGTAGTTGATGCTTCGGTCTTCGAAATCAGTACGTCAACCTTGTTCATCTTCATGCAGATCAAGGAAGGTGGTATGAAACCAGCTTTGTATTATGTATATAAAATTATTCTGACAAAGTCCTCGACACGTTATAATATTTCATAATGGCAAGTCTGGCCACTTGAAAAGATTCAAAGACTGAAGAGGAATTATATTTCTCGTAAATTAGAAGAGCAAGAAAATGCTAGAAATGCTGTGCAGTCCATGCAGCATCTCTAGAGAGGGAAACGAAGTTTACATTTCACGTCTTTGGAAGGTTTGTGATGAAAAGCTATTTTCTGTTTTTATTTCAAACTTCCAGCGTTTATTTTGAATTTGTTTTCTCACTTTGGCTAAAGGTTCATTTTTCAGCCTGTTGCAATATACACTTAGGGAAAGCAATGGCCTAGTGCTATTATCGCTGGACTGTTAATCCAGAGACCCGGATAACATTCTGGTGACCCGGATTCAAACCCAGCCACGGCAAATGGTGGAGTCTGAATTCAATAAAATATCTGGAATTAAGAATCTAATGATGACCATGAATCTATTGTTGACTGTCAGGAAAAACTCACCTGGTTCACCAATGCCCTTTAGGGAAGGAAACTGCCAGCCTTACAGGTGTGGCCTACATGTGACTCCAGACCCACAGCAATGTGGTTGACTCTGAAATGCCCGCTGGGCAATTAGGGATGGACAATAAATGCTGTCTAGCCAGCAATGTCCTCATCCCATTAACGAATAAAGGAACCTTGCTGAACACCTTACTAAAGTCCATACAGATCATGTCCAACGCTCCGTCTTCATCAATCCTCTGTTACTTCTTCAAAAAAACTCAGCTATGTTAGTGAGGCACAATTTCCCATGCACAAAATCATGCTGACTATGCCTAATCATTTATGCCACAGAAAATCATCTGTCACCAATTAAATCAACGAGTTTGAGTGCCTTCTAAAGTCCTACTCTACAAGATACAGATTAGTTTATGTCAGTTGCTCTCACGTGTGAATATTAAATTTAGAATCAATTAATAAATTGAAATTCCCTGCATGACAATATGGGTACCATAATTATTTAGTGACCAGGTAAGTCATAGCATCATAAAATACACAAAGAGACAATTATGTTTGTGCCATTTCTTTCAAAGTCACCCAACAAGTCCTGCTCAATAGTTTTTTCTCCTAGCAGATGTATCCTTTTCAAGACTTTGTCAAATTCCCTTTCAAAATTACTATTTAATCCGCTTCACCCGCCATTTCGGGCAGAGCATGCTTGATCATAACTCCCACGAGAAAAAAAAATCCAATTTTAATGCTGGCTTTTGGCCGATTATTTTAAACTGGTGGTCTTTTGTTACTGGAACAGTTGCTCCCCATCTGCTCCATCAGAATACTTCATATGCTTTTCAACATATGGATTACATCCCCTCTTTGAAGTTTTTTTGCTTGGAACAAATTGATGTTGGCAGTTAGTTAAAATCCTGTGTTCTTCAAAGTGACAAATACTTTTGTCCTAGTGTGTGGTCTTTGATTGCCATTGGCTACCAATATCTGACAGACTAGCCTTTTTGCCTCACAATTTTAAACAGGGGTGTAATAACATTTGCAACTCTCCAGCATCACTTCCATGTTAAAGGAGAACTGAATGATTGAGGCCAGAATCTCCACAATTTTTCATCATAGAATCCCTACAGTGTGGAAACAGGCCTTTTGGTCCAACAAGTTCACATCACCCCTCAGAGCATCCCACCAAACCCATTCCTCATAACTCACCTAATCTACACTTCCCTGAACACAACGGGCAACTTAGCATGGCCATTCCAACCACCCTGCACATCTTTGGACTGTGGGAGGAAACCGGAGCACCCGGGAGGAAACCCACGCAGACACGGGGAGAATGTGCAAGCTCCACAGAGTCACCAGAGGGTTGAATTGAACCCAGGTCCCTGGCGCCGTGAGGCAGCAGTGCTAACCACTGAGCCACCGTGGCGCCCTCCTACTGCACCTGGTATTCGCAGGTGGTCTCCCATCCAAGTAATAACCAGACCTGAGTGTTCTTAGCTTCCGAGATCAGATGAGATCAGGTGTTTTCAGACTAGTAGGCAAAGCATTAAATTTGTGGCTAGAAACCCACAGACTTGGTCCCATGACCTTGGCGTTATTAGTCCCGTGCTCTAACCATCTGAGCTTACACTTATGTTCCTCAGCAACTTAGGATGTATCCTATTTTGTGTCTGGTAGCAATTCAAATACCGCCTCTTTATCCATTTTTACCACATGTAATGTTTCTATCCTTTCATCTTCTACCATGCCATTAATAGCATTCTCCTTTTTAGCGAAATCAGAAATCAAGTGCCCACTTGGCATTTTAGCTTTCCACTCTGGATCCACAGGATTGTTTTCTTTTTGATCCCTCATCTGACTTTCAAAAGGCGAAAAATGTTCATTTTGTGACTATGGCCAGTTAACAATATCTACTTATTTTGCACTATGTGGAGGTTCAACATAATTATGGCAATAACATTTCTAAATAACAAATAATAACTGTAAATTGATTTGATTGTTTTTGAACATATGGCAGTGTAGAAAATCCACAATGAACGCATTCTAACTTACTTTCCAATATTTTCAGGAAGCGCCTGTAATGAGATGTCATTCAGAGAGAGACAAGTCAAGTTCCGCAACTCAGGAAAGCTTTCGGGCAACCTGCGAACAAATAGATCATCAAGAATAACGATAATGCTCTGCAAACATCAGAAATCAAGAGGTTTGGACACAGAGCTTCAAAACACATCAAATATAGTGTTGTAAAGACTGTCTTTTTATTTTTCTGCATTATAGATTATGAACCGAAATTAGGAAAAGGATAAAAACGACTGCTGAAAGATTTCTGTACTTTTTAAAAGCAAATAACCTAAAGCTCGTTTTAAGTGCTATCTACCTTACTGTGTGTTAAGCAGTGGGGGTAAGGATTTCAGACAAGCTAGAGCCAAGATGCAAATGGAGCTTTGGCCAGCAACAAGTAGCAACTGGTGTAGACCAGTGTCAAGTTATTAATAACAAAGGCCTTCTGCCTGCCAACGACTATGTAATGGCTCCCAAACAGCAAAACAGCTTAAGGGGGAGAATGTTTTTGGGAGAAGTCATTAGATTTCCACAAGGGCAAGAGAAGTCTTTTTTCTCTACAGAAACCACCTTAAGTCCTCGAAAAGCCAGTTTAACGTTTCCCTCAGCAGTTGCTGTCAGCTTGACATTTTGAACCAGTAAGCCAGAGGCTTTACAAACATGAAGCTGCAACCCTGTACGTTCAGCAAACAAGCCAAAGTATCTGGAGAAGGAAAATCAAGAAGCATCAGATCCTGACACACCAAAAGGACCATCTCAGCAAACCTGGTGAACAAAGGATAATTGAACCGTTTTCCCAGTGTTTCCTTCCACCCAATAACCCAATGTTATTTTTTTTCCTTTTTCTGTCTGTCTGTTTGTAAGGTGTAATAGTCAGTTATTTGCAGCTAGAATCTATTCATTTCTAATAAACAGTAATTCTACTTAAGAAACCTGGTCTGTGCTTTTTGTCAACCTTAGTATAAATGACAGGAAAATTAGAGAACTTTGCTTATTTTAATAAAATCTTCAACTTTTGCAACAATTCTGGAACTCGTGCCACTTGATTAGCAGCGCACTACCCCATTAAGGCTTAACCGTTTATATGACTTACATCTGCACATTTCATATCGACAAAACTCTATTTCCTGCTGGTCACATCAGTTAATACTTGGGTTAAAATATTCCATTAAAAACATATTTTCCCACATTTATAATGTAAAGTTGTTACAGCATCAGTATATGCACCTGCTGGTGGGTGCCATTTTAACCCCTCCATTTTACTTGTCAGAATACCAAAAGAAATTTTCTCTATCAACCAATTCTACTTTTCAGCTTCCCAAACTGGTGTAATGTTTTAAATTATTTCTAAAAATGTTAAAAGTAAATCAAAAACAAAAGTGAAGGCATAATGTGCGACTTTAAAAGAAATATTGAATAATATCTGGACATCCTGCCATCCTCTACTCTACTTCACCTGAAGTCTATAACAGGATTTGATTCCTTGACTTTACATGCATAAACTCATCATTTTTGGGTGGTGGGGGAAAAGAGAGACTAACAAAAACAAAATTCAATTCAATTTGTATGGCTTCATCATAAATGAACTGCCACAAAAGAACTGGGCTCACATTAAAGCTTAAAATGTCAAATGGCCAAAATCCCTTTAATAGCTTACCAAGGCACATAAGTGCTTCAACAAAGGTAAGTAAAATATCATGTCTTATAATAACTAGTCCAGAAAATATAGGTTTTATCTGTGCGCAGATTAAGCAATAGCATCTGATCTACTAATTACAGACGTGTGAAAAACAGTTTACTTCCAATAGTCTGACGTTACCATCGTGGAAACTGCTAAGTAGTTGGAATCAGCCACAAATAAAAAATGTTGACATCATTAGGAGTACTCCATTTCAAAGAGAAAAACAAATAAAAATCGAAAATCTGATTCCACTACATGATAGATTAGTAGAATAATAGAGTCGATCTGACTACTAAAGTGGACAGCCCAAATTAGAATCAGTGGTCAAAAATCTTCCCATTTTGGAAGAAATGGGAAAGCAGCTTCCACAGGGATTTCAAAGGCTGATTTAATTAATCATTAATTGAGACAAGACCCAAACCAAATAAGAATTGAATTCTCAACAGTAGTCATATTGGACTCAACAGAAACTCAGTTTCTCTCTCTACATATGCTGCCCAAACTTCCAAGTCACTCCAAAACATTTTAATTTAGATCTCCAGAATGCAAAGTATTTTGCCTTTATTTCAGAAGTGTGCTAAACATTCCTGGTAATCAAACATTCTCAAATGATATGGATGGAAAAGAAGGACTACAGAAGTACTGATTGATGACGATGTTACTTTTCAAAACAGAAACGGTGTACTTGATGTCCCAGAATTCCATTTGGCTGGGGTTCAGAAACAGAGCTGGTGAAGTGATATTGCTTTTTACTAGAGCCTGGAGCAGTTAGCTGGTGATAGATGACCATTCTGTTCACAAATTTCAAAAGTGTGGAACAAAAAACTAGTTGTGAGAAGAGATTAATTATCATAATGTAAATGGGGGAAAGAAATTGTTAATGGTAGGGAAGGAGAGAAATTGCTGAAATGTTCAGGAAAGCTTTCTTTATCAACATATTTCCTAACTAAGTGTTGAAAGAAAACTGGAAATTTTGGATATACTTAGTAGATCTGGCACCAAGTGGGGAAGTGTTAATCTTTCAGGTCAGCAAATGAAGATCTCGGCTCTCAAGAACTCAGTTTACCTCAAAAGTGATTACTGAAATGTTAGCTCTGTTTCACTTCTTTCTCAAGATGCTATTCCTAAGCTATATACATCGAGCATCAACAGTATTTTACTTCTGTTAATGAAGCCCATTTTGGACCTTGTTTTGGGGAACGAAACAATTCGAGTAGAATATGCTGCCGTATGAGATTTCTTTTAAAAATTAAAATATGGGAGGTGGGCTTTGCTGACAAAGCCAATATTACGGCACAGCCCTCAAGAAAGTAGTGATATATGTTTGTCCGTTTCAGAGGGAAATTAAATATAAACTACATTGCTACATGTCTGGAGTCAAGTACAGGCTAAAATAAATAGATATAGCAGATTTTCTTCCCCTAATGACACCAGTGTAGCGGTTGCGTTTTCTTTTTGTGACAATTCAATTTTAAAACTAAAACTAGATGCAAAGAGAAGTCAAAAAGACTAGCAGGCAATATTAAGACAAATCTCAAAACATTTTCTGAACACATTAAGCTGTGTGAAAATATTCCAGAGGAGTGGAATCTTGTTCATATTATTCCCAAAATGGCAAAGGGATGAACAGGAAACCAATCCAGTTAGCCTAACACGAGTTATGAGGAAGTAACTGGATACTGATCAAACTTTCATTTGGAAAAGCATGAATTAATCAAGATCAGCCAGTATAGATGTGTCAAATGGAAATAAAATCTAATTAACTTGATTTAGTTAGTTCATGAGGCAAAAGAGAACGGTTGATCAGGGTAGTGCAGTAAATGTTCTATATATGGACTTTTGACAGGAATTCAGCCAAGTACCAAACAGGAAGCTTAAGAAGATGTAGTTACGGGGGCAGTGGTGATATGTATGAAATTGAAACAGAAAGTAAACATCGCAAGATTTCAAAACATTTTGCATAAACTGACATTAAGTAACAAAATTCTGCAAGCTTCTTATGTTTTAGCTATGCTCCCAAGCTGTAAATTTTTCAGTGGAAGCTCTTAATATCAAACTGAAAATTGTTTAGAATAAAACAATATGCAAACATAACAACAAGACTCCTGTATTCTAGTTCTTGTTACCTGGTCAATGGATTGCCACTGAAATCTGCTACTTGTAATGATTTGCAAAATGAGATACTTTCTGGAATTTCCATAATATCTGCAATTAAAAAGGATTAAATTAGTCATATACATGGCAACAATATTCTGTATGACTTGTTACCTATCGAAACAAATCAAGGTCGAAGTATCAGCAATCTAATTACACGACGTCAAAATGGACCAAAAAAAAAAGTACTGTGTAATATTTAACTCCAGTTATACTGCATGTCTGGTATTAATATAGATCTTTTACACCCAACAGACAGTAAACTTCTTTGTGAAGCCTTCTCAGGAGTATGACAAACTAGAGGTGATAGATGGCCATCGCGAGCTGACTATCAGCAACACATTGTTCATTTACCCTGTTTTACAACAGACAGACACACCACCAAAGTCAACTATTCAACTTTGCATGACCAAAGTGTCCTAACTTTAGCAAAAGCCAAATTTTTTTCATTCAAACTATAACCAGCAGTAACAAGCTCGAATCAGTACTTCACAGCGTAAATATGAAGATTTGTAAAGCCTAAATAGCAACTGGGCAGCATAACAGAGGTCTCCACAATGAGAATATGTTGTTTGCGATCTCATGATGGACCAGAAGCCTACTAGCAGCAGGGACACACTCATCCGTAAAGATCCCAAGTTCAACCTTTGCCCTCTGCTTAGTTAGCTAACCTGCTTAACTGACCTGACTCAGCATAACATAAGCAGCTTTAGCAGCCCCGGGCTAGGAAGATGGAAACAATCCAGGATTCCTTCTCCAAATTATATTTCAGATACGTCTGTTGCACGTAGGCTTACTTAATCTTTGCGGGCAAGGATGAAAGCAGTCTGAGAATTGATCATTTTGTCAGATTAACGCTCCCCGTGCAGGTTAGGCGAGAAGGGAGTAGAGTCAGAGAGAAAGAAAATTGGTGAAAAGGATGAGGTCAAACTGAAAATGAACCATACTGTTAGATAAATTAGTTTCCATGCTAAAGATTTGATATACAAACTTCAGCATAAAAACACTTGGCTAGGAAATTGCTCCATTTGAGAAATCCAAAAGCAGATTCAGAATGGCCTAACAACAATATCCTAGGAATCAATACATCATTCCTTCCTTTCAACTCCAATCAACCTGAATACGAAAACCTCCTTTTCTGCAATCCAAACCGAGATAAAAATAGTCAAGCATTGCAGAAACAGGAGTTCTGGGAGGGGAAAAAACCAAAGTAAAGCAGTTCATTCACATTGAAACAATTACAATTTAAAATACCAAATTTCAAACCTTTCAAACTATTTGTTATAATATCTCGTGCTGCTCTTTCACCAACTCTTAATAGTCAAAAACTTCATAAATCAGTCAGAAAATGAACATGCAGCTTAAAAATTGGTCTGGCCTTCAGGTGAAAGAAAATTCACTCAACATTTGGGATACAGCACCACTGTCCCACAGGAATAAAGGACACAGATGACAAAGTTGGACAAATGCAAGGAAGCAGAGAGTAATGATAAACAGGTGTTTTTCAGACTGGATGAAGGCATATAATGGGGTTTACACTAGGATTGATATTAGATCCATTGCTTTTTTTGATTTGTGTGAATAAGCGAGACTTTGTGGAAAGCGCACAATTTCAAAAGTTATAGATGACAATACTTGGAAGGGTAGAAGGTCGTAAAGAAGACAGAACACTAACAGGTTGACTGGCTGGACAAAACTGAAGGTGAAATTTACAGAAGAGTAAAGTAATACATTTGCCAATTAGAATGAGGAAAGGCAAAGCAAAATCAAGAATATAAAGAATCCCAGGAGTATGCGTATAAATATTGGAAGATGGCAGGGCAGTTAGAGAAAACAATTAATAAAGGGATCTGGGGCTTAATTTAAAATAAAAGGTAGAATATAAAAGTATAAAAAGTTACAATTTATTTTTTATAAAATACTCGTTCAGCTTCACTTGGAGTACTATCCAATTCTGAGCATTTATAAACGACGTAAAGGCATTAAAGATGATGCAGAAGATGGATGGCAGGAGGGAACGAAAATAATATTTGTGAAAATGGAGTCATTTCAGTGACTATTAGACAGCCAACAACCAGTACATTATAAAGGAAATACATTCATCCAATTCAAGATGACAAATTATCAGAATATTCAGCCTTCATAAAAACATTGAACTCACAAGGAGGCCATTCAAACCAGCAGGCTTTTGCCAGTTCTTTTGAAGAACTGAAGGGACTTGATACCACATAATCCCTACAGTCCAGAAAGCAGTCATTTGACTGATCAAATCTGCTCTGACCCTCCCCCCAGAAGCAAAACCACTGCCATTTCATCTCTTTAAGCCTACGTGGGGTTTTTACTTGACTAAGCCATCTAACCTTTACATCCCCGAGGCGGTTTTTAGCATGGCCAATCCACCAAACCTATACATCTTCCAACTGTTGGAGGAAACCAAAACACCTGGAGAAAACCTAGAGAGACATGGGGGGAACATGCAAACTTCACACAAACAGTCACCCAAGGCAGGAATCGAACCCAGGTCCCGGCACTGTGAGGCAGTAGTTCTAACGACCGTGCCACCATGTGACCAACAAATTCCTCTCCATCAGGGATAAATCCAATTCCTTTTTGGAAGTTATAAATAAATCTGCTCCCAACACACTTCAAGGTTGCATGCCAAATCGTAATTCACAGGTTTGTACGTGCCCCGGCTTTTTCTTTACCAATTATCTTATACTGGTGCCCTGGAACCAACCTCTTTATTCCATCAAATCATTGATAGTTTTACAAGCTCTGCAAATCGCAATTTAACTTTTTGTGTTCAAAGGAAAATAAATCCAATTTTTCTAGTGTCTCCATATAAGTGAAATTCTTATCACTGGCATCATTTTACAATAGGTAAAACATCATTTTAACTTCAAAGACCATTATTGCTTAACTCTACTGCCTAACAGTATCCAAAGAACATTTTTTATTTGCTCGACAATTTATATAACCCAATAAAGGGTTTCCATTCAAATGGATTGCAGTGGTTCAAGTTGGTAGCTAACCACCACCTTCTCAAGGCAACTAGGGATGCGCAATAAATGCTATTCTATCCAGCAATGCCCACATCCACAAGTGAATAAAATAAAACCTTGCTCCCTATGCACACCATTAACTAGCACTTAATATTTGAAAGAATGAGTAAGAACTCCCTTTTTCTTTCTTTTTCTCCCCTTCAGGAAGCAAGTAAATCAACTATAAATTAATCTGCCTTAAGTTGACTAACAAGGGGCATGTTGCTCAATGCCATGTAACTCAAGATTCTGGAATCTGGAAGGCTAGAATTCAAACCGAAACATCTGCAATAATAAGTATTTATAATCGTCTACTGACACGAGTACATAATGTTTGTCAATCTACAATTACGTGTACATCATACTCAGCTGATTCACAGCAGTAGCAAACAACATCCTAACTCAGTCAAAGCATTGTAATCGTAACTAAAGGAGGTGGGGAATGGGTTAGCAAATATACAATGAGCCATTTCAACTATTAATAAGAAAAATAAACACAAAGAAAGACAAGACAGAATCTGATCCAGCTGAAGTCTGCATGCTATTTCAAAATAAGTCTTTCCACATACCAGAGGTTTCAATTTTACATAACTGAGACTGTAAAATTATCTAGTTAAAACAGCCCAGATTTTAAAGTATACAGTTAAAGCAGTGCATTAACCAATGGAATCTCAAATGACAATTAATGTTACACTTTGAGGAATATGGATTGTCAAATCATTTGATACTTTCATAACTTTCCCTCATCTTTTTAAAACTATAACAAAGTTATGAAAAATGTCACATCTTGACATTCTGAAGACTTTGAGCTAAGAGTTTTATTATGCCAATACTAATCTTAAGATACATGTACAGTAGAACACTGACTTTCTGCTGGACCCAACTGGGCGACATTATAGCTAAAATTCAAAAGTGTTTTTTGGATTGATAAAGCAAAAGACACCGAAAAACAGTGCAAGTGTTTTTTTCCTCTGAAAATACAGAGAGCCTTCTGAAGCAGTGATGTCTGTTCTATTCGCCCCTCAACTCCAACTGAAAGCAGTTATAGTGTCCAAGTCATATTACAAAACCTTACTGGCTACTGCTGTACATCAACAGATTTTACTCCACACGCAAAGAAGTAAAGAAGTTTCAATGCCTGTTTGGTCTTCAAAAACTCCAGTTTTGGATTTGAACTGCTTGCCATCTTTACATTAGAGGATAATTACTCCAAGTTTCAAATGTAAACGCTTCTACACATCATAAGAAGAGTTTGTCTGTTACACAAAGCATTAGTCACACAAAACAGTACAAAATCCTAAGTCTAATTACTGTTCAGACTGGATCACCCATATTCTGTTTAAAAGGTTGTTAGCAAAAGAAGAATAATCTTTTCCTGCAGAGGAAAAACAAAAAAGCGACAGGGGCTAGGATAGGTAGTTTGAGAACTCTGGCATCAAAGCTTCTCCAAACAGATCGGTGGGGAAAATAATTTTGTAGACCTTTTGCTTTCACATCGTATCATGTTGATATTTCAAAAATGGTTGAGACATTAAAGACATGAGGAAGAGTCTGTTCTGAGAAAGTGTCACTCAACCCAAAACGTTAACTCTGATTTCTCTCCACTGGTGCTGCCAGAACTGCTGAGCTTTTCCAGCAATTTCTACTTTTGTTTCTGATTTACAGCATCTACAGTTCTTTCAGTTTTTATAAAGACAAAGATCCCGAGTTCATCAATTTTCTACAATCTATTTGTAAAAGCCATGGCGCATAGAGTAATTTAAATATCACAACTTCAAGGATTTGAATCTGCGTCACTTTAAATATCACCTTGTCCAGAATTTGGGCCAAAAGTCCCAAGTGAATGACTCGACAGAGTTTCATCATGACTACTGCTTGAACATATTCAGCAGGTATTACTTCATACTTAAATGTTATTTGAACTTATGGCTACTGCAGTGAGTGAGACACGGTCTTACAACTCTTAATACCTTAGTTGAGAATCATCTGAGAGGATGAAAGCCTCCTCTC